GTCTGCTATAGTGTAATACATGCAGTTACTAACCTGATGATTCAAAACCAATTATTTTATTGAAATATCCAGCAATGTGTATGCATGCATCTCTCTCACACACACACACATTGGAATGTTAGCCTAGACAGAAAAGGCTATGTTGTGCAAGGAAAAAACAAGAGCTGAATTAACAGAATATTAGTTTTATTAAGAATGAAACACTCCTGTATAAATCAATAATGTTTCTCGGGCTGTCTTTTGCTGGTAGTGGAAGATTGGGTTCTATCAACTATAATTTCCAGAGCGGATTTTCTGCAAAGCTCAGTAAGCAGAATGGTTTTGCCACTGGAAGGACTGGCTTAAGCTGTTCTATATAAAGACAGATACCTGAATTTAAGTGTACTAATACAGGGTGTGACACATTTTACATGACTGAAAGCTGCATTTCAGAAAATCAAGGGGGTGCTTAAAATGAACCTGGGAGGAAGACATATGCTATGACCAAACAATGTAGATTTCGTCCCTCAAGTTTCTTGTATTGAGGCTAATGTGCTTTTTTTTTCTCTAGCAAACCTGGTGGGAGATCATGGTTCCCTTTGTGGCAATTTGCTGCTAAATTAGAGCAGTTCTTGCTTCCAGGGGGGAAAAAAGGTATGGTGTAGGATCTTTATGTGTCCCTCCACCTATGGATGCAACTGAAGTTTCAGAAGATAGTTTAAAAACAAATTCATTTCTCGCTTGCCTCGGAAATATATTCTGGAAAAGGACAATACTGTCACAAGAGTATAACATGCTAATTTTATTACCACTGCCCAAAGTCCAAGGAAACGTAATTTAGTCTACCTTCTTTCTGAATTTTCCAAGTTGAATTAAAAAAAAAACCACGCTCATTAGGAATATATTTACAGTAGTGCTTAAAGGTTTGCAAACCCTTTTTGAATTTCCATTATTTCTGCCTAAATATGACTTAAAATGTCATCTGTTTTCCTCATTAAGTCCTAAAATTGGATAAAGAGAACCTAATTAAACAGTCAAAACTAACCTCTTTTTTCCTCATTTGCCTCAAATGCCAAGATAATACAGTCTGGAAAACTGTACACGGTTGTTTGCTAACTTTTTATATTGGCACTACAACTTAGTTTGAAAATATCCACTATTATACTTACAAAATAACTCTTTTTAGAATATGAAGCATACTAAAAGATGGTATCACGGACATTGTGTGTTTAGAACAACGTGCCTTTTCAAAAGCACTGATAATAAAAATCTCGAGTTTTAATATTAAAATAACTTCCATATCTATGCCTTCTCATGAATTACAATGCTTATTTTAAAATGCTTCTATGTAATTCTTATTCTAAAATTATTCTAACACTGAGTTTCAAAGATAACCTCAAAACTTTTTTTAAAACAAAAGGTTATTTAAACAAAACTTTTATTTCAGCATTCTGAGTTCAAATAGTTCCTGCAAACATAACAGAAATGTAAATTTAGCTAATACTGTTCTTACACTATTAAGATAACTAAAAAAATGTGAAATTTAATCTTGCAACAAAAACCAGGGCAAGTTTAAAAACAGGAATAAGAGGAAATGAACAATTTAGATTGTGAAGATTGAATAAAATATTGAGCAGTTGCAGTACTTGCACTATTATATAAACATGACATCACAAAGCTAATTACAGTTCTTGAAAGAATTTGTGTTGCTGGACCATAAAGTTTATAGATAGGATTTCCAATCTTTAAATAAATAAATGGGGTACTTTCAAATTATGCCTTTGGAAATATATTGTTTTTGCACTCTGGATGAAAGTGGTGGTTTAGTACTCATTGCTTGATGCTATTGAATTTATTAATATGATACAAATCTTAACAGATTTCACCTAACAGTGAAAGTTTCATAATTCTATAAAGTTTCACACAGTAATGCAGTTAACAACAAAAACTTGTATTATAGAATGCCAAATTCATCTGACACATTGCCAAGAAATAGAGGAAATATTGGAAATGTTCATGTAATATAGTCTTAATTCCCCAGGTCTCACTTTTCAGTTAATACATTTGTTCTGATTATATATATATATATTTAAAAACCTGTTAAGCTAGTTCTTCTGTTTACATAATACATTTCTATCAAGGTACAACTTCAAGTTTATAGGGGTTTTTTTTTTTTGGTCCTTGAAAATTTTTAGCATATTTTTCACTTCAAACATTTAAGTCTTCTAAACCTCAACATTAGGGCTGCTACAATGGCTTCAGCAAGTAACGTCCTACCTGAAGGCTCAGGTACCATTAATTACCTGGAGATCTCAAGGGACCCCAGTTGGGTCAGGATCTTATAAAGTGGTTAACATCTATGGCTCTTAACCCTGAGAAGAAAAGCAAGAACAGGAACTCATAGTCATAATAGGGTTAGAAGGGACCTCAGAGGTCTTCTAGTCCAACCCCTGCTCAAGCAAGAGACCCTGTACCATTTTAGACAAATAGTTGTCCAGTCTCTTTCTGAAAGCCTTCAGTGACCCACAACTTCTGAAGACAAGCCGTTCCATTGGTTGATTGTTCTCACCATTCGGAAATTTCTCCTTAGTTCTAGGTTGCTTCTCTTCTTGGTTAGTCCTCAACTTGGGCCTTTTAGTGAGATGATCAAGGAGAGGGAAAGGTTATGTCATGTTGCCCTGGATCTCTCCTGATCTCCACAAACTTACTGTCACAGGCAGAAGAGATAAGGCCATGGGATCTCTCTCTCTCTCTGTATAATACCTATGTCACCAGGGTGTAAAAAAACAAAAACTAAATCCAAGAGGGCAGTTCAGAACATAGCTCAGGTAAAGTATGAAGAAACTGACCAGGGCTACTCATTTGTTTGAAATGGTGTAAGGCTTCCTGACACTATTTCATGGTGAATGAATTAGAAGACCTCCAAGGTTCCTTCCAACTCTAGTTATTCTATTGACTTTAGCAGCAATTGTTAATCTGGACAGAGGCCAATTCTCAAAGGCCAGATGTCCTCTGTGGCCCCTATGTCTGAAGAAACATGGGACACAGAGCAAGTCAGACTTACTTTCAGGCCTGCTCAAAAGTTGCAGGCTATGTGGAGAAATTCTGGATGACCAAGCTTTAAAAAAACCATCTCAAGGGCAATAGAGCAACAGGTGCACTCGCATTCCTACTGTCCCTGCTTGCCCCCAAGACAAGCCCTTGATGGAAATAGGCAGATTATTCAGGAAAGCAGACTGTCACAATCTTAAATTTAGGGGGCTTCCCCTATCCAAAAAAAAATCTCTCAGCCCCTCCCCCCTTCCTAAGGCAGTTTTGAAAGGGGAAGTCGTCAGAAACTGACCCACAAGATTGAACTTGTTATAGCATGCAGGTTAAACATACACTCTGAACCCCAAAGTTTCATGATACCAGACTGACCGAACTACATAGTAGCTTGCAAACACAGCTTGTTACATAGCCTGCCAAGACTTCAATGCAATTCTCAATTTGTAAAGAAGGAGCTTCTATTCCAATTCTCAACTTCTACAGAAGAATCTTCTATTGTAATTCTCTATATAGAAGGATCAATTGCAATTCTCAATATATATATAGATCTATTGCAATTCTCAACTTGTATAGAAGGATCTTCTATTACAATTCTTAATATAGAAGGGTCTATTGCAATTCTCTATATAAAGATCTATTGCAATTCTCACTATAGAAGGATCAATTGCAATTCTCAACTTGTACAGAAGGATCTTCTATTGCAATTCTCACTATAGAAGGATCAATTGCAATTCTCACTATAGAAGGGTCAATTGCAATTCTTAATTTGTAAAAAGACCTATTGCAATTCCCAACTTGTACAGAAGGATCTTCTATTGCCATTCTCACTACAGAAGGATCAATTGCAATTCTCAATGTATATTGAAAGATCTATCGCAATTCCCAACTTGTACAGAAGGAGCTTCTATTGCAAATTCTCTATACAGAAGGATTTTCTATTGCAATTCCCCGATTTCCATAGAAGGCTCATCTATTATCGCAATTCTCAAAAATTTCCATAAAACGATCTTCTATTATTGCAATTTCTCAACTTCCATAGAATCCTCCTCCTCCTCCCGCAGCTCATGAGCTTTTTTCCACAGCCTCGGCTACCTGACGCCCTTTCCAAAAGACCGACTTGAAAAACAAGCGTTGTTGCCTCTTCCTCTCCTATCCCCACGTTCACCTTAACGCTCTCCCTTAAAAACAAGGCCCCATCTTCGCCCAAGGTAACTTTTCGGCCTAACCTTCCGCCAACCCCCCCCCCCCTCACGAGACGCCTTACAAAACCGGGTCCCGGGGCCTTTGCATGCCGCCCTTCTTCCGTTCACACCACGATGACCCAAAGCAAGACCAGGCCCAGCGTACATATTACCGCCCCCCAACCCACGGAGGACCAGCTTTACAAGGGAAAAAGGGTTTATTCGCTTTGCGGACGGAACCGGCCCAATGAACCGGGGCATTTCCCCCCCCCCCCCCTCTTCTTTCTCCCGCAAGCCGGCCTTAGAGCGCTGGGAAAGGCCTTCTCCGCGCTTTTCCGGGGCGGTCCGCGCCGCCCGTATCCTCCTCCGCGGCTGAGGCACCATCTTCGCCCAGGCGCCTCTTCAAGATGGCTGCCGCGGGCGGTTGGGCAGCGACGGGCTCTGAGGAGAGGAGCTTCTCCCGGCCGGGTATCCTTAAGCGGGGGTGGCCCGAAAAAAGGGAGCCCTCCCTCAGCTCAGCTCCGGCGAGTCCGCCCGCCCGCCGGGAAGAAGTCACCGAGACTCTCCGCTCGCGCGCCTTTTTTTTTTTCTCCCCCCTCACAGAAATCGCCTCACGGAGAATAACCGCCTCTTTTTCCTTCTCTCTCTCTCACCCTCCCTCCCGTTCCCTCCGTCGCGCGCCCTTCCGCCATTGGCGGCGCCGGGCGTCTCTCCGAAGCGGGCCGCCTTCCTATTGGGCGCCGAAAGTGGCGCTTGCAGCGCACGGCCCGCCCACCCCTCCATCGGCTTCCCCCGCCCCTCCCGGCTCTCTCACTCTCTCTCCGCTGTGAGGTAAATAGAAGCGGATCGCAAAATGGCGGAGCTGCCCAGTCCCGTGCGAGGGGCGACGGTGGCGGCGCCTTTGCCGCCTCCTCCTCCTCCTCCGCCTCTTCTTCTTTCCTCGGCTCTGGCCGTCGACGCCCGGGTTTCCCCGCGCGGGCTCCAGCCGCCGGCCGCCAAGCGCCTGAAAGGGGACGAGCGAGGCGGCTTCAAGACGGCCAAGCGCCTCAACGGCGAGGGCCACAGGCAGCAGCCTCCTCCTCCTCCGCCGCCTCCTCACATCCCCGTGGCGTCTTCCCCGGCAGGCCCCGCCGTGTGGAGCCTGGCCGCCTTCTCCTCAGGCGGTGGAAGCGGCCCTACCGGCGGCGGTTCCTTCGTCTTCCAGCCTCAGCTGCCCCCTAAGTTGCTTCTTCCGCCGCCTCCTCCTCCTCCTCCTCCTTCCCTCTGCCTGGCCGGCGTGGAGGCCAAGAGCAAGAAGCCCAAGGAGAAGCGCGAAAAGGAGAGGCGGAAAACCCTGCCGGGGACCACGACGGCACCTCCTCCTCCTCAGGGAAGCGGCCGGGAAGAAAACGGCGACCTGAAGATGCTCCTCCAACAGCACCACCATCGCCACCACCGTGAGGAAATACTCCCTCCCCCTTGACCCATAAAAAAAAAAAAAGATGTGGGGGGGGGTTTCAGGGAGGTGGCGGGGCTGGAAAATGGCCTTGCCCCCTATGGGGAGGGGGGGAGGGGAGGAGGAGAAAAGAGGGGGGCAAGGAGGAGATTGGGGGTTGTGTGGGGGAGGGGCTGCTAGCCTGGACCCCGTTTTCCTATTGGGCCACTTGGGGAGGGGTTCCCCACCTGGGAATGGTGGGGAATGGGAATGGGGGTGTGTCTCCCATTGCAAAGCCAAGGCTGGAGGAAGAGGAGGCCGAAAGGGGGGCGTGGGAGCTGCCCGGTGTGGCAGCAACCCTAATATGGGTGGGTGGGAAAGACCCAGTTGGGGGGGGAAGGGTGACCCCTCCAGATCTAACCCTAACTTTAACCTTAGTCTGTCTACTGTTGACCTCACCCCGTTCCTAAGAGGTCTGTAAGGGGCCTGCATAAGCACATGGTCCCTGCCCTGCTGTCCCTTTTTTTTACTCGTATCTTTATCCTGTTATTCATAATCATGTTAGATGTTGTCTTACGTGTTTGACAAATAAATGCATTTTAAAAAATAAAGATCTGGGGTAACTTCTGCACATACACACACACACACACACTCCTTTCTGCCTGGGAAGTTCCAGGGCGAGATAGGCGGCCAATAAATTGACCGAATTAAATAAAACAAATATTAAAGAGTGGGGTATGAAACAGCATCTATCTATCTATCTATCTATCTATCTATCTATCTATCTATCTATCTATCTATCTATCTATCCATCCTGTGTGTATGTGTATGTATATATATAAACAGGATAGATAGATGGATGCTGTTCCATATACACACACAGACACACACACACACACACCCTGTTTCCCCCATAATAAGACATCCCCTGATAATAAGCCCAATCGGGCTTTTGAGCACATGGCAATAAGGCCAAGCGCTTATTTCAGGGTCCAAAAAACTATAAGACAGGGTCTTATTTTCGGGGAAACACGATATATATGCCTAAGGAGAGTCTTCCCATCATCCAGGTCGTGGATTGTCCCAAAGGTATATTGTTGTGTATTGGGATCCGAAGAAACACCTGAGATGAGAAGCGAAACATTTGGGAAGAAGAAACCTAGAAAGTTCTTTAAAAAAAAAAAAAGTTTATAATATAAAAACCCAAATACCAAAGGAAGTAGTAGGAAAATAAGGGAAGGAGGAAAGCGTAGGGAAAAAAAAAAAAGAAAAGCCTTGACTTCCGAACTCCCTTGGGTGCAGTAGAATAAGGTAGTAACATCAAACCTCAACATTTGACTTTTACATAGTTACATAAATTAGCCATTTCTAGAACAACAAACCTGTCTAATCAGTAAAGGCCAAAATCACTAAAGTTTTATTTCCCCCCCCCCCCACCTTCAAGTCCAGTTGCCTTTTGGGGGGGAAAAAAAGCACCTTTGGGATATGGAAGCATATGGACAGCCATGTCCTCTAATTACGCACTGGATGCTTCTGGGTTTAAAATACTATTTCTAGTGAGCAAGAAAGTAGTGACTTGTGTTTCTTTGTATGAGACACTTCAGCAACATCAGGTTTTTAAAAAAGGGATTCCTTGCTATCGGAGTCCATGGTGGTTTTGACATTCTAATGGAGGCGTTTCTGTTGAAGCTGGGAAGAGTGAACTTGAAGTCCAGTGCTGTCTAATGTCAGGATGTAGCTGTGTGAGAGAGGATGTAAAAGCCTTAAATTTTTGCTTTTTTATTCAGAAGTAAGATCTACTGAATATATAGAGTTGTTAAATAAGTGTGAAGCTAATGGGGGTTATCTTGAAGAACTGCTACAAATTTACCTTCGGTGTGGATGCACCGTAGTTTAAGGAATTTGGGCAATCCGGCTGAACATTGCATCAACCTCAGATGAAAAGAAACAAGTACTTTTCAACTTGGTGAAGTTTGAAAGTTAATAAAAAATATAAAAGCTATAAAAATGGGCCCTGTAATATAATCTTAAAATGCGTGTTCTTTTCTGTTTAAGTGGCAAAAGTTCCAGGAATGTCACATGGATCCCTATATTCAATCAATTATTGTTGAACAGAAAAATAATTGAACCTTGTTTTAAGTTGATACCAGCTGGTTTATGCAGGTTTAAGTCAAGATTTTAATGGCAGCCATTTTAGCTGGAATAGAGAAATAGGGGGTAGTTTTTAATATGTTAGGAGGTCTTGAAATTCTGTACTTAAACTTCTGAATTTTTGTCCAAATATTTCTCATGACTCTTCAATATGACTTGCTAAGGAGTAATCAAATTAGATGCTTTTGCTAAAGACTATTCTAAGAAGAATTTTTAGAGCCTCATGGTATTTATCAGTGAAACATTTAATATAGAATGAAATAAATAAGTGTTGACTAGTAGTCATGTACACTATATTTGTATGGCTGTATAATTTATCTAAGATTAATTGTTTATCATCATGAATTATCCACTATTCATCTTGCTCTTAAAGCTTTTTTTTAAAACCCAGATTTATAGTAGAAAGGACAGGAAGGTAAAATTTCCTTCAAGGAAAAAACATGCTTTAAAGGGCAGCAAAATAATGTGAGGAAGGTTTTACCTTCCCATATGTTTCTTTCAAGAAAATAGTGAATGCTGCTTTATTGGTGAAATAAACAGATACAGGGAAGAAATATATGGTTCTCCTGTCGCATTCAGTTTGGCTCAGTAAAACTGTAAACCTAGGAAATCAAGATGGAGTTAAAAATGAAATTTAATTTCAATAGTCAACAGTAAAAACACTTCTCTAACCATTCCGGAGTGCTATTAATATTTTTAGGCTTATAGCAATCTAAACTGAATACAACAAATTTGCTGGCTTCTTGAATCATTAGTGTTCTTTTGCATCTAGTAATGTTCAAGGCTGTTTGGAAGTTTTAGCTTTAACAAGTCAGTGTTTGCAAAGCTTGCAAGAACAGGAGGTAAGAGGGGGGCATTTGCTTTGAAACAATCACTGGAGCAATTTAAAGGAATATCACAGACATGTAACATGACTACATTTTCTTTTAGGTAAATTGAAAAATAACGTAATGGTAAAACTTCTTGGCCTTTTCACTATCTATCAGTTATTGGCAGCCTTCATAGCACAAGGCTCAACAGTGTTTTTTTTTTTAACAGCTGCAACTTCTAGTTTCCTTGGCTGGATTTTACAATATGTAGGGTTTCTCTCCCAGCATAGTGCTTGCATGGCCAACCTCGAGATCTCTTCCCTGGCTCTAGTACACTAGAGAGCAACTACAGTAGAAAGGCGTACGGCAGTCATCCATTTTCATGATGCATCCATCCATCCCATTTCCTCCGAGCTATGATAACCAAGGGCTGAATGCTGGTGATCCCCATGTTGGAGACGTGATCTTGTCAATGAATGTCAAGGATGGATCAGAGAGGATCCTTGTGAAATTTCTCCCAACTGTTTGATGTACCTTCAATACAGAGTCCAGAATTCGGCATCCATACAGGAGAGATGGTACCACAGCTATGTAGACTTTCAGCTCTGTGGAGATACAGGTGTTAGTTTTGATTGAGCACTCTAGTATGCAGCCACCTAAGTGCCTGACTGGCCTTTCTAATCAATTTCTTCATCTAAAGACCCATCGCTTGAGATGATGCTTCCCAAGTATTTGAAGCTGTTTACATTTGTCCTTCTGACCCTGGCACATGACCACAGGAAAGCAAAGAACAGATCGAATAGAATTGAAGCGTTCTATTTTCTAGCTGAGGTGCAGATCACTAATTGTGTTACTGTGTTACCTATTGAGAACTTGTGAATGCTGTATGGATAGTTGACTATAGGCCGGAACATACTAGATTACATATTAGCATGCACTTAGGTTTATTAGAAAGATTAATAGTTTCTTAGTAATAAATGTATGGCCAAGGTGTCCACTTAAAGTAAAGTAGCATTTCCTTCCACATGAGAAAGTTGGTTATTTTTAAATGTTGTTGTCATTGATGTTTCTATCAAAGTTTGTCAAATTTGTATGTACGGTACTTAAGAACAAACTATAGGGAAAGTGCTAAGATTTTTAAACATGTCTTATTCTGTTTTATTTACCTGACATACTGATATGCCAGGATGTTCCCCGCAAGCTTAGCCCGTGGTAGCTTATATCAATCTAAATACCAATTTAAACCAAGCAATAAAATATCAAAACTAGTAACAAGAATTCAGTGTCTCACTGAAAAGCAGGAAAGTTTATTTGCAGGGTAGCATGTATAACAGGCCTTGAAGGATGCCATATGTCCAGCAAATGCAACCCTTTATTCTAAATTCATAACATTACTTGAAATTCATGGGCTTTGCTTGGAATACTACTTTTTTAAAAAGATCTTTCAGTTCCTCCTAATCTGATAATATCTTGCTACTACTTCCTCCAAAATATATGCTCTTACTTTAACATACTAATCTTAAGGAAGGCAGAGGAATCTGAAATCAATAAGGACATTCAATTAAATTGTTAAAGAGTTTCTGTGCCTATAGAACAGGGGTCCCCAATGCTATGCTGGCTGGAGAATTCTGGGAGTTGAAGTCCACAAGTCTTAAATCTGGGAAGTTTGAAGACCTCTGCTATAGAAAATGAGAAGATTAAGTTCTGATATGTTTTTATGCTTGTTGGGCAGCCTTTTTTTTTTGGTGTCTCTAAACTAGTTTCCCACAGTGAGTTGTCTGAAGTTACAGTTTCACCATTGGTATCTCAAATACTTAGTGTGAGGATACAACACTAACACTTGTTTCTAAATGTGTAGCGTCAGACAAAAGAAAAGAAACATCTTGTAATAGATGCTTTAGGAAGCAAATGTAGAGTCCTGATATTTTACCCTAAGAATACATTCAATACTTGAGACATTTGTAGAAGGCTGTAGCCTATTTTATTATAGTTTTACATTTCATTTTCCTGATACAAATCTCAGTTTTTTACCTTTACATTCTTAACCAGTTGAGTAGAAATTCTTGCCACATGTAAGATGATGATTGTCATACAGGACTTTGCATTTTGAAAAAAAGGCAACTGAAGTTATGGAAAGCAGATGCTGTTATGCAGCAGTCTAAATAACATTAGATTTCAGGGAATACTATTATGGCTAAGAAGAAACTACATAGTTTTAATACAAAGAATGCTTAAAATAGTTCAATTTTGTTTACAGCAATATGAGAATTTAGAGAATTTAAACTACAAATATTACGTTGCTTTCATTGAATATAAATGCTTATGCATTTATTATGGGTAAAATTTTACTCGTAAGTTTTGCATTATTTAAAATGTCCATATATAGTTACTGCTTTAAGACTTCCATAGGTTTTATCAAACAGTTGTGATTGTATCTTGATTTTCAGCTTTGCTATAAATCTGTGGGACTCATAGACTGCTGCAACCCTCAAGACAAAAGAAAATATCCTATTTTACTCTTGAAATGATCAGTTGTTCAATGTTTGACCCTGAACATTTGAAGTTCAGCATGCGTAGATGCTGGATAAAGGGAACTGGAGCATGCAGGAGGGTACTGATTTACTTTTGTTTACTCACCCAGTTTAAAACAGTAAGCAATCATTAAAGTCAAAAGTAGCACATAAGAAATAACATATAGATACAATGTTGACCATATTTCTTCCTGTAGCAATTTTGGAAAAGAGTACAAGTTAACATTCTAATAAACACCTATATGGCTTAGGTATTTCTTCAAATGCTTCCTTACTCTCTAGACTTTTCTGAGTTCAGAATAGGCTTATAAAACCTATGTATTAGATGTATTTGAGAGTGAATTAAATGTGTTTGCTTAGCAGTAGGTTGTCTTGGACAGAGGAAGGATTGTTGTCACAGTGGCTGATCTAATGGCCTATGATTAGACCTCTTGATGCAGTAATTTCATATGCCTTTTGACAATGCTTCAACTTCATAAGCTGCCCTAGATCTCAGTGGCTTCTTTTATAGTCTGATGTGGGATCCTCTTGGAAGTTTGTGCAAACCAATATAACATAAAACCCATACTGTGGGTGTGCAAGATTGTAAAACGATTAAATATATGATTAGAAAAAAAAATCAAATCTAAAGATTAAAATTTCATCAAGATAAACTTTAGTTGTTCTATACTTATGAAACTTCAAAAAGCTAATCATTTTATAGCTTCAGCAGAGTATTCTCTCATTTTTACTAATGTTATTTTAGGGATTAGTTATTACAGTAGTATTTCTTAATTCAGAGTATTGGGATATTACTGTATGGTCTTTTGCAACAGGAATTTGAAATACATTGGTCATAGAAGTTGTATAACTGTTTTAAAAAATTTGTATTTTTTATCTTTAATCTGAAAGGTTAAGAATTATTACATTTTTGTATGTAAGAGTGGACTTAGAGGCTCTAAAGTGATTCTTAAGAAGCGGAAAATGCGAATTTACTTAGTAACTTTACTTTTCTGAATGTTGCTACTTGGAGTACAATGCTATTTGTGTGTTTGTTTGTAGTTGTTTGTAGATGACTCCATATGAGTCACTATTAGCTGTTAGTCTGTTTTATGAATACCAATAAAATTTGAAGGTCTTTCCAACTTGTTTAAAAATTTGAAGAGAATTATATTACAAAACACAAGTACTTGTGTTAAGGAAAAGAAGATATTATAAGGGGGTGTTCTAACTAGTTAATCAAGTTTTGAAGCTTCCAGATTAAGCTGTTTTCCCCATCAGGATTCTGAATTGGACAGTTTTCAAGGATTCTTGGTTGGATTGCAGTTGGGTAGATTTAGGAAATGCTGACCTTTGCCAAACAGCAGCTTCTCATCTGTCAAGGGGATGAGCAGACTTAATTAGTGGAAGAGATATAAGCTAGATGTTTTTCCTCAGTTTTCCCAGAATATCATTAGGAATCTCCCAAACCTCATGTTTGGTTGGCTTTTTGAAACAAAAGGGATTATTGAGCCAAGATTTCAACATCATGAGGATGGGAAAATATATAATGACATGTCCCAAAAGTGCTTTTCAAAAGGCAACTGGACTTTCTTGGTTCTTTTCTTCAAAAACGTCTCACTTACCATCTAAGAAGCTGCTTCAGTTCAGAACTGAAGAAGTTCACAACTGAAGAAGCTTGTTGGATGAGAAGCAAAACATTTTCAAGGAAAAAAATCAGAGCCTAGTTGCCCTTTGGGACAACCATGACCTGGGTGATTGAAAATCTTCATAGACATAAGGATACAGAGCTCATATATTTTTGCGTTCACAGGATAGGCTTCGAAAGTTATTCTCAAATCTAATTTACTTGCTGTAAATTTTAACATATATTGGTCAGGCACTTTAGTTGAGGTAGCATGCTAAAGATCTTTGCATGTTAAAAGTGGTATATTAATGGGTTATAGTAATTTCAATATTTTGTCACTGCAGTTGCATTTTGTGAAATTAAATTGTGGTTTTTAGTCTGTAGATTATTAAAAAACCTAAATACACGTAAGAGAAACCTGTAATATTTTTGCTTATCTTTGGAAACATCAGGAACAAAACTAGATGGCTATGATGAACCCTGGTTAAGTCAGTTTGTTTCTGAAGTGCAGTGTTCTGGTTAATTATCTCTTTGTATTCATATATTGTTTAACAATAACCTGAGTTTCCAAACTCTCTACTGTGAGAAGAAAGGTATCCAGTTATTGATTTTGGAAGTTGTGTTGATCTAAAACCTATTTCTGTTCTGCATTAAAGCTGTAGTCCATCCCCCAGTCAAATGAATAATTGTGTTGATTGTGGGTAATTTCTTTTAAAAACTTTCTTATCTTTATTGAATATGAACATACTTCCTTTTCAGATGAAATCATAAGAGAAAAAACCACAGAACGGGACAAGGAAAAGCAGAAAGAAAAGAAGAAGCACAGATTAATGTCTGAAATAAAAAAAGAGAATGGAGAAATGAAATTATTTCAGAAAGGTGAGCACAGTATTTTTCACACATGATGGTGTATACATGAAAGAAGATTTTTTAAAATGAGTATGTTTTTAAATATATTTAATTCTAATTTGTTCTAGTTTTTCTTAATGATAAGAGGCAGTATGACCTGTGGTTTTCATTTCAGGTTTGTACTTAAGAGAAAGGGTATCATGCTTATCTAGTTACAGGTCTGAAAGCTTTTACTTACAAAAAGTAATTTGAATACCAAAACAATTATGTGAGAATTAATGGCAAGTGCACAATAATTGTGCCTGAAATGTGAATTTGTGGCACCTTTCTAGGATCCCACTCTTACATGAAACAAAATGTTTGTAAAATGGGTTATATATGTCTTTTTTTCTCTTTTCCTCATCTGTTGGGTTTCTGTAACAGTGACCACAGTATTATTTTGGATTGGCTACTAAATTGGTTTTCAGTTGTTGTTATATGGTGGCCTTGATCACGCTTTGGAGATTAATTTCAGAATTAATCTGAAATTGGAAATCTATTGGGGATGAAATTTGTGGGGATCTTTTATTCTCCCATACTACATTATTGCCATGAAAAATGCTTTGCAAAGATAACCTCACAATTAAACTGCAGATAATCACTCTGGGAAGCTCAACGTGTGTATAAAGATGATTTTGCATGGTTAGTGGCCAAATTGAAGATAATATATCCAAACTTTTAAAATACAGTTAATCCTTAAGGATGACAAGGGAGGGATGACTACTGTTAAATATGTAGTCATATTAGAGCCAAGAGCCAATGCAGCCACAGCTGCAACTAAACAAGGCGCCGTCATCTTACTTCCAAATTGAAAATTATTAAAATTGAAAATCAATGACGGTAATAATATATATATAAATTATATATATTATATATAATATAATTTATTATATATTATATATATATGTAATATATAAATCGTCCAAACTCGTCCAAACTGATTTACAAAAGATCGTTACATGTAGGTTTTATCCAAATATCAGACCAGTTCACCAAGCCAAAATCCTCAAGTATTTGAAGTCCATCAAGCCAAAATCTGGTCAAACACTGCTAATCTGGATAAAAGGATTTAATCAGTATTGGTTTTACCCCCTAAAACCTTGACTGAGTCCAACTTATTTGAAAAATTACTTCAGTCTTAGATGTTTTTCATTCTGTGTTCTTGTACATTTATACCCTGCTGCTATAAGCGCATAAGGCAGCTTGCAACAATAATAGAAAAATCTTAAATGCAATAAAATGAAAAATTGAAAGCATTACAATAAACACAATGAAAATAAGTTAACCGTTGAAAACTTGGAACAGTTTGAAATACTGGGACAGAAGGAGCCAAATGAGGCTTCTTGGAAAAACCTCCAGTAGCCTGAGAGCTACTTAGGAGAACAAGCCCTTTCTCCAGTTCACCAGACAGCCGAGCTTTCTGCCAATGATGGAAGCGTCTTCTGAAGCTGCTCGCTCGTGATCTAAATACAGGGCAGGTTCGTAGCAGGAAAGGCAATCCCTTAGGCCATAAGTCGTTTAGGGTTTCCAAAGCCAATATCTTACAACATCTTTCATAACTGGGTAGATAATTGGCAGTTCTAACGCATGCCAGGATTGTGCTTTCAGTCAGGATTCAATCCCGATAGCAGCTCTTTCGCCACAGGTTGGCCTGGCCATAGAAGGTAGAACTTTGAGGCTGTAGAGTCCACCTTTGCTGAACCCTTGACTTCCTTGTGTGGGCTGTCACTTGAAAGACAGGAGGACAATTAACCACCTCTGCCTTTCTTTCCCTGCAGCAGCCAGGTTGCAGTCTCCTCTGATATGTCCTTGTGCAGATAATACTTGGCTCGCAATCATCCATTTAGTGACCATTCAAAATTACAAGGGCATTGAAAAAAGTGACTTATGACCTTTTTTTTTACACTTATCATCACAACATCGCCATGGTCATGTGATCAAAATTCAGATCCTTGGCAACTGACTCATATTTATGACGGTTGCAGTGTCCCAGGGTCATGTGATCTCCTTTTAGGACCTTCTGACAAGCAAAGTCAATGGGGAAGCCAAATTCACTTCACGTGTTTAATGACTTATCAACTGCAAAATGGGGCAAAACTCACTGAACAACTGTCTCAGCAACAGAAATTTTCGGCTCAATTGAGGTTGTAAGTCAAGGACTACCTGTACCAATTCTGCCATTGCATCTGCATAAAGGCAAACACAACAACCTGCCCGAGGAATCGGTGTCAAGAGTTTCCAGAAGAAACTTCTCCTCTGACAGTCTGACTGCTTCAGGAAGTAGATGGTGTAATTTTTGCAGTCTTTTCAGTTAGCAAAATTTAAGCAATTGAGGTCCAGCAAAGAAAGTGAGAAGCAGCTGTTATCTTTGCAGCTTCTCTCCAATAGTTGTTGCATGCTGATATTACTGTTTTCAGGTCTAGCCTGCTAAACCCCAGACAACTATTTGATATGGAAAACATTAACTTTTTCCTGCCGTAAAGCGCTCATTGGAATATTTATTTAATCATTCATTATGCTACTCTGTCTTCAAGCATCTTACAGACTTCTGAAACAGTAATGAGATAAACTAGGAAAGAACAATATTTTGGTAACATTTCCTACTGCTGACGAAAAGCTGTATCCCATACACACAATTGCCTCCACCTCCCCTCGCCCACTACCGCCATCAGGAAAACGAGAGCAATCCCTCAGAGTCCAAGGACTCACTGAAGCAGCAGCCTCGTCTTAATGGCAAGTTAATAGGGTTGGATCCTGTCTGCCTTCAAGGGGATCGTAAGAGCCGAGGTGGCGCAGTGGTTAGGGTGCTGTACTGCAGCTACTTCAGCTGACTGCTAGTTTAGCAGATCAGCGGATCAAATCTCATCGGCTCAAGGTTGACTCAGCCTTCCATCCTTCCGAGGTGGGTAAAATGAGGACCCAGATTGTTGGGGGCAATATGCTGTTTAGTATACTGTCGATTGTTGTAAGCTGCCCAGAGTCCTCGGAGAATGGGCGGCATAGAAATATGATTAATAATAAAAAAATAAAATAAATAAATAATATTGTAGAGAAGGGAACCAACAATTTAAAACACCCAACTCCAGGAACCCTGCAGGTAATATATGTCTTTGACTAGGAATCCCAGACCCTTTTTACAACCCTGACCTGGTAGCTTAACTATATTAATGATTGAAGGTAAAAGTGATATTACTGTTCTTCAGGATTCATGTGTAAGCACATTTTTTATCATACTTTGGAATTTAAATTGGTTTACAGTACTTGGCATATTATTGCACAGGATATTTTTCATCTTCATGTAGCTCCAGTTTTTGATAAATTAAAGCAAACCTTTCTTTCTTTTATCTTTATAGACATAAAAGAAAAAGTGAAAAGCAACGCAGACGACCTACAGATTAAAAAAGTAAAGAAGAAAAAGAAAAAGAAACACAAAGAGTGCGAAAAACGGAAGCGTCCAAAAATGTACAGTAAATCCATTCAGACCGTCTGCTCAGGATTGCTTTCCGATTTTGAGGATCAAGAAGCCAAAGGCATTGTGGATCACCATCATCACCACCACCACCACCACCACCATCTTAAAGATTTCAACGAGAAACATAAGAATCCCAAGAAGGACCCTGAGCCCAAGAGAGTGGACAACAGTGAGTTTCCCTTTGTCTCGTTAAAGGAGCCACGCGTTCAGGATAAGCTGCAAAGGTTGGACGCGCTGGAGTTCAAAGAGTTCATTCACGTGGAGCACCAGCCTAACGGAGGTGCCTCGGTGGTTCACGCCTACACGAAGGAGCTCTCCCACTTGTCTCCTGTGGAGATGGAGAGATTTGCAGAAGAATTTCTGGCTTTGGTTTTTAGTGAACAGGAGAACTGTGCTGCTCACTATGTAATGGGAATTGTTCATGGGGCAGCTACTTATTTACCTGACTTTTTAGACTACTTTTCGTTTAATTTTCCCAATTCGCCAGTGAAAATGGAGATTTTGGGAAAGAAAGACATAGAGACTACGACTATGTCCAATTTTCATGCTCAGGTAAGAGGTTATCTTTCATATTTCCAAAAAAAAAAAAAAAAAAAAAAAAAACCCGAACATTTTGCTTCCTATTCAATGTTCCAGTTGTTGCTCCTTTTCTCTAAAATTCTCTAAATTTGTTAAACAAGACAGTGAGCTTCCTAAAAATATATATTAAATACTAGTCCTTCTTCTTTTTATACCGTGCTAGGTAGAGAACAAAAATGATAGCAGTAGCTTCTATTTTTGATAAGACAAATAAAAAGGTCCTGTGAATTACCTGCTCACAGTTTAGATTGCCTACATAATTCATGGAAATTCTGCCTGGTATTCCTTGCTGCCTCTGAGGTAGGAAGTGCTAGTTTTGTATATTCTGAATGTCTGTAAACCTTTCTGCTCCCATTAAGGCTGAAAACCAAAGAATAGAAACTGTAGGGGAAAGAACAATTCTTAAAAATGGTTAATGAAAGTCAAAGCAGATCAATGTCTATGGAGATTCTCAGTCATCCAGGTCATGACTCTCTAAAAGGATGCAAATGACCAGCTGTCTGCAAGGAGTATAAATCCTTCCATTCCCCACCATCCAGTCAGAGCTGAAGAACCTTCTTGGATGAGAAGAAACAACATATCCAACCCTTCCATTGCAGAATTAGAATAATAATTCATGTTTGTTTTATGCCTGCAAGTGTATTTTTGAAAAATTGATAGTTTCTGATTTTAGATTTTAAAATCTACACACTAGACTTTGTGTAGTTTAAAAAAATAGATTATTCTTGAGTTTTTCACATATTAGTATTTGCCACTTACCTATAAACAAAACATCCAGCAATTAAAGCAAAATGGAACTGAAACAGCACGTGGCATAAAGTTATTCTCATGTTGCAGAAGTTGTATGGTTTTGCTGATGTTTGAGTTCTCCTCCTGGTCCACCATTGTTTTTGAAGCATTTAAAAGAAAGGCCAAGAGTATTCATCATCTAGTAATCATTCCATGGAAAAGTTCAATGTTAAGAGCAAGATTGTTACATTTAGTTAATAAGCTTTGCTGTATATGGGATGGGGGAATGTGGCGACAGAAACGACAGAGAGACACAGAGGGAGGGAGAGAGAGGGAGATTTCCCCATTTACCCATTTATAGGGCAGGGAATCTCTTGGATTGGTTTCAACTGCACTTGGATACTTTAGGTTGAAATGGAAAGTCAGATGCTCTACAAGCAGGGATGTCAAACTGGCAGCCCTCGGGTCGGATACGTCAATTGCAGGCCATGCCCACCCAGCTCCCCGAATGGGAAAAACGTTGTGGAATGTCACATGACGGCAACATGATACGGCGAGTTTGACACCCGTGCTCTACAGGATCTTTTGCCTGTTTTTATCATTTCATTTATTTATTTACTTGTTTATTCATTTGTTCGACGAGTATGCTGCCTAGAGGTGACTGAATTTTATTTGAGTCTACTTTTTTTCCCAGCAGAAGGACATCGTCTGAAATTTGAATTCCTCTTCATTTCAGTTCAATATAATAATCTTAATCTCTTATCTTATTCGTAGTCTAAAAATAGTACAAGAACATACACGAATGATGAAGTTCAAAATCCAACATCAAAATATTCATTAAAGGGTTTAAAAGTATTTTCCAACTATGGAATTGGAATGATGTTATAATTATAAAAACATTTATGCCATCTTCAAAAGGAGTTAATTACATGTTTATACGATATCTTAACGTAAGAAATACCTTAAAATGCAATTTGAAAGAGGCATCAAAGAGGCAAGTTTAACAACCAATTAAACTGTTTAAAGCCTGTAAAATAAAAATTTCTTGGCTGTTTATCTCAAAAGTATCAAGGCAGGGCACAGTCAAATTGAAGTGCTACATTGAAAAAAACAGGGTACTGTCGCCATCTGGCCTGCCTTTTCTTTTAAAGAAGAGTTTTTCAATGGCCCCAGCTGTCAGGGCAGATTCTTTGGGAATAGACCGTCTTTCCAATATTCTTATCCCAGGCAATTTGCAACACTTAGAATTGGACCTGAAAACTATCTCCTAGCAAGCTATAAAAAAATGATCGGGGGACCACATCTTGTTCTATCCTCCTGGATTCTCCTTAATGAGTGTTTCATGTAGAATATGTTACAGTAATTTAATTTGGATATTGAATTACCCAGCTTTGTCAAACCTGGGAATATTCTCAGCAACAGACATGCTGATTGAAGAATTCTGGAATTCCATAGATGTGAAAGCAGGGTGGATTTGATTTAAATCGAGTTGATTTAAATCACAATTTAAATCATGATTTAAATCACTAGTAAAAAGGCTTGATTTAAATCAACTCGATTGAAATCATAATTTTTAAAGAGCAACTGTCATCTCTGCTACTCCTTTGACCCACTGTTGACTCACCAATAGTCTCAGTGTTGCAGAATATACAGCCTCATGCTACATAACTAAGCCCCATTTCATGCTGAATAAACTACATTATTTATGTATCTTAAATAGAAAACTATCTTACGATAGATTTTTACCCCAAAAGTTTTTTAGTAAAATAAATTCGATTTAAATAAAAAAAATCCGATTTAAATAAAAAAAATCCGATTTAAATAAAAAAAAATCTGATTTTTTTGATTTTTTTAAAAAAATCATTGATTTTTATCCACCCTGTGTGAAAGTGACTCATTGTAGAAAGCTGATCTCAGATATGTAACCATACACACAGATATATATTTTAGAGGAAAGGATGCAACAGGAGTGGCTGGGGTTGACAACGACATTCATTGTCACAGCAGCTACCTTGATATTGAGGTCTAATGTCCAGAACATACTGAAATCACAAACCTCATCCTTCAAAGGGACTAGAACCCCAACCAGAATAACTGCTCTTTTCGTATGTATTGCCACCCAGTCTATTGATTTTTTTCCTGTTTGTCAGAATCTTAGCTTCTTTGTTAACGTCTAGCCCATCTCTAGAATCTGTGATACTTGGTGTTGTTTGAAAAAAATAAAAGTAGTTGCGAGGAGAATTATGTAAGGCGGAAAACTTTTGTAGTATTTTATGCCAATATCTACATTGTGGTTTATTTTGGAGAACTAGCTCAAAACTGAAGTCCTTTGAAATTTATTTACATATATTGCCTTTTAGGTATTGTTTTCTTCCTATGAAAACAGTTTGTATCAGTTTTGGCTTTGTATCAAATACATGTTTAAATATTTGCAAGTTAGTTTTTCTCCTCTTCCCTGTGTTCAGAGAGGAATTACATTACGAAAAGAATATTGCGGCTAGGATGAATTAAGGGGCTTTGGGGAAAAAACCTCAGTTGTGCTTTTCACAAATTGAAATTGAATTCATTTTCATTTGTTTGTTATTTCCTGTTTGATTTTTTAAAATGAGTTTTGTATGTTTGAGGAATCATTATATTAATGAATGGAGGATTTCTGAATGACAAAGGGGGAAACTATTCATACTTGGGTAGATGTAATGGAAAATGTGGGAGAGATGCTGCCTAGGAAATAATCAGAGAAGAGAGGCAGGAGCCCCCAGCTGCTTACGGTCAAAGGAAGAAACTTAGGAAGGACTTCCCTTAATGGATCAAGCAGCTCAAAGTGGCAGCCAGACTTGCAAGATTGACATCTGCCCGCCCAGGTAAACCAGACAGGAAACATGAACTATTTTATTGTAAGGCCACCTTGACAGAATCTTGCAAGTCTGAAAATACAAACTTCCTGTCAGCAATTTTAACTGTTTGATCCATTAGGGTGGGTCCTTCACAAGTTTCTTTTCTTGACTGTCCTTTTATTTATTTAGATTTATTTTTTTTATCCTGCCTTTGTTATTTTTATAAATAACTCAAGGCAGCAAACAAGAAGCAGGTATGGGGACTCCTGGCTCTCTTGTCTGACAGTTTTCTAAGCAGGATCTCTTCCCCTGTTTCCCCAAAGTCATCCACACATTCCATTATACCGAATTACATGATTTTGCTCCTGCGTGGAGAAGTAGAATTTCACCCAGTTCCATTGTTTGTATTAGGATATAATTTGCTGCTTGTTAAACTTGTTCATTTCATTCTTGCTCTAAAAATAGAACAGATTCAGTCACAGCGTGTGTAATCATTCTCGTTCTATATTTAGAGAGCTGAACAAAATGCTTGCTAGACTTTAAGAGCAGATCTGCCCCATTCTTGATGCACCAGGATTCACTCTCCAACTATATCATGGACCCATTATAAAACCTTGAGATTATTACATTTTCAGATGGTACCTTTTAATGATTAATTAATTTAACTAGGAATGTACTCAGCTGAAGCTAAAAATTATACAGTGGCATTAAAAACTGTCCTAAAATTTTTAATGCCACCAAAGTCTTATATAGTCCTATGTCCCAAGTCCTAAAACTAAATCGAGAGAACCCAATTTAAGCAAATGAGTCAAAACATATTTATTCATGGATTTGAGAAAAATGATCCAAAGCTACATATTTCTGTACGGCAAAAATATGTGAAATAAAGATGTAGTGGGAGTCACAATTCATTGTATCAGGTGATGTGACAAGACTTAATCCTCTTCCCCCCCCACCCCCCGCCCCCGGTAGATTTGGGGTTGAAATAAAAGTTGGGAGGCCTCTGGGAGAAAAAGAACTACTATATCCATGTTTAAAAGATTCCAAGATATTCTGAAATCATGTTACTGAATTTAAGCCATAATATGGTGATATGGTCTCTGATGATGAAATGTACTTTATCTCACAGAGGTCTTTCACTTCTAATTCCTTTTTTGTTTTTAATGAGGGTATCAAAAAAATGAAAATAAAAAACCCACCCAAAATTGCACTACAGTAGTGGCCCAAATTGTGGAAACCTTTTTGGAAAAGTGTATTTTCTAAAACTAGCTAATAACACCACTTTTTTTGGAGTATTACCATAAAATTATATATCTATGGAAAGATAATTTAATCAAGAATGTAATGCAATAACTTTTATGAAGGATTTGCTATTAGAATAGCAGTTACAGTATAAAGAAGAAAAGGGAAACATGTAGAAAAAATGAGATATACAAAAATGATCCCCATGTCAGTTAATACTTAGTTGGGTAACCTTTAGCATGAATGACGGCCTTACAACGTCTTCCCATGGAGTGAACCAAGTATTTTAGTTCTGCAGCTATTATAATGTGAAACCGAGATTGAATGATGGCTTCTATTAACTGGGTTTTATTGCTGGGTCGCTTCTGACTAACAAGTTTCTTTAGTCAGCTCCATAGATTTTCAATTGGGTGAAGGTCTGGGCTATTCCCAGGCCATTCAAGCAGTGGAATAGGATTATCTTGAAACTCGCCCCCCCCCCCCAAAAAGTGGTGTTATTAGCCATCAAACCTCAAAAATACACTTTTCCCAAAAGGTTTCCACAAATTTTGGCCACTACTGTATAATAAATAACCCATATGGCCATTTGGCTATTGAATTTTGATAGTGTGATTGTGGAATATTGGGTGTGGGTAAACAGGATTTTGAGAGAGATAGTATTTTGTGTGAGTCCTGCTGTTAAGTAAATTGCTGTTAAACCAAAGAATTGTTTAGTGCAATATACAAATCGGGCTCCCCAGTTACACTCCTGAAAAATAATTGTTTGCATTTATTCGCAGAAGGAGTTGCAAAGCTGTTATGAAAAGGAACTACAGGTAGTCCTCGACTTATGACCACAATTGAGCCCAAAATTTCGGTTGATAAGTGAGACATTTGTTAAGTGAGTTTTGCCCCATTTTACGACCTTTCTTGCCTCAGTTGTTAAGTGAATCACTGCAGTTGTTAAATTAGTAACACGGTTGTTAAGTGAATTTGGCTTCCCTCAATGACTTTGCTTGTCAGAAGGTGGCAAGAGGTGGTCACGTGACCCCAGGACACTGCAATTGTCATAAACACGAGTCAGTTGCCAAGTTCCGAATTTTAATCACATGCCCATGAGGATGCTGCATGTCACATCGTAAGTGTGAAAAACGGTCATAAGTCCACTTTTTTTCCAGTGCCATTATTTGGAATGGTCACTAAACAGACTGTTGCAAGTTGAGGACTACCTGTGTTACATTTAGGCTTCCTAAATTAGGTGTGTGTCTATGTATGCAACATGTCTCTTATGAGTCTTAGAAGAAACGTATTGGACAAATCTCTCTGCTTTAGAAATCAGATATAATTTGGCATGCTGATTAAGCCAATGTGGCCTAGTTGATACATAATACAAGGGCATAGATGATCGGCTTGGAAACTAGAAAAACTAGACCCTTATTTTATTTAGTGAAATCCAAACAAAGTACATTACAATTTATCAAGAGGTTAACTAAATCATTTCTCACAATGTAAACATTTGTATGATATTGTATTGATGAAATAACATTTGTTTTCATTACTCTCATTCAGAGAGAGTCGGGGTGGTGGAAGCAGAATTCTTATTAGTTTCTCTGTCTCTCCCTCCCTCCCTCTGTCTCTCTCTGTGTGTTTGTGTAGGTAGAGAGAGAGAGACTTATCTGTGCGGTTTTAGATTTTTTTTCTCTTCTATTTATTGTCTGTTAAGTGACACAGAATATATGAGGCAATTAAAAGCCAATTAACCACTTCCTGACAAGCCAGCAACAAAGCAATCCGAATATTGCCTCAGCAGAACATTCAGTTGAGAAGGGGGAGGAGAAAAAGGAAGTGAAAACACAATTGCTTAGCTGTGAAAAATCATTTCAAAACGATCCCTAGTTTTAGCAGATGGCAACAATCTGTGAAATGGCATGTTTACAGTAGTCTTTAACCTCAGACTTTACACTAAAGACAACAAAACAGAGGGAGGGGATGGAAATGAAGGAAAATGGATTAGATGGTACAGGTGATCCTCAACTTATGACCACAATTGAGCCCCAAATTTCTGTGGCTAAGTGAAACATTTGTTAAGTGAACTTTGCCCTGTTTGACGACTCCTCTTGCCACAGTTGTTAAGTGAATCACTGCAGTAGTTAAGTTAGTTGTTAAGTGAATCTGGCTTCCTCATTGACTTTGCTTGTCAAAAGATCGCAAGATGCGACCATATGACTCTGGAACACTGCAACCGTCATAAATATGAGTCACTTGCCAAGCATCCAAATTTTAATCACATGACCATGGAGATGCTGCAATTGTAACTGTGAAAAGTGGTCATACATCACCTTTTTTAATGCTACTATAACTTTGAACAGTCACCAAATGTTGTAAGCCGAGGACTACCTGTATTAATTGCAATGCCCAAGGGAAATGAAAACAGTTCAGGGGGAGGAAAAGATAGTATTCCATTATTTAAATCATATAGATTTAAGTTCATCATTTTTCTTATAATACTGTATAGCTAGAACAGATGAAAGAGGGCAGGCAATCTTCCCTGAAATATATTGCATTCTCTATCATCTATAAATAGGCCGGAGTGTTTTGTGTGATAACTTTCCATACCATATGATAAATTTCTGGAAAAGTTTTTATAATCGTCACTGTGAAAACATTTGGCTCCCCAGCATGCTTTTTGAGAGTGTCTTTGATGTCATTGTGGAGGCAGTAAAAAGTGTAATTTAACAAATAATAGAATAAGCTTTATATTAACTACATTTATTGGATCAAAATCTAAAACCAAAATTGTTATAAAAAGGCTGAATGGTTTTCTTAAAATCATAGTGGTTACTGCATTATTTACATAATCAATGCCAATGTCTTTAATTTTAATTTGGATATATTATTTTCCACAATCAGTTACAGGGCAACTATCCTGCAGTACACTTTAAAATGCTCAGCAAGTTAAACCAAATGGTTCTTAGCCTTCAAGACCTGGTCCATTAGACTGTTTTAATGATATCCATTGTGCTAATTGAGTATTCTTATGGTTTTGGCTTTGTTTCAGTAAGATGCCCAGAGTTTGTGGAATTGGGTCTGTATATGAATTTGCAAAATAAAGAGTTTAATCTCTCAAAATATCTTCAGAAATTTTCCTCATGCACGTATGAGTTTGTGTGTAAAAATTCAGGGCATCCAACTTTGATTGATGGATTAGTAAACTAAAGTTGTCTATAGGGGCTTCCGTGGAAGTAGTATGCTTAATGGATTAGGACTAGTATTTGGCTGCCAGGATGCTAGTGAAAGGTTTATTGCATTTTGTCTGTGGGAATAACATACATTGAAAAAAAAACCAGACGCATGAAAAAAAGCATTGTCTAATGCCCAGAAACTTGAATCTTTGACTAGAGAGATGTAAAGATTAGCACTGCTGCATAAGTGACAACTGTACAATCTGTTATTTTAGTAGGTTGAATATAGGAACTCTGTGTGTATTAGATCATCTGGTAATTTAAAAAGTCATTACTGGATGCTGACTATTCAGCTGAATAACCTTGAAAGTACAGCATGATGACAACTTGATTGATTCCATCATTCAAAGCAGTGTTGGCAAAAAAACGAGACAGCAACTTAAATGAGAGATCATTTTCTGCCTCTTATAAATGGAAATGCATTCTTGAAGTTATACCTTGACACAGAGAAGTTATAAAGTAATAAGTAAAAGTAATAAACAGTAAACAATTATTCTCAATATTTTTTTAAATAAAAATAGAATATTGTGTATGAAGTATGAAGACTTTCCTTTTTTAAAATTAAGAACATACTCTGCTTCCTTTAGGTGACCTAAAAACGGAACTTGATACTATCTAATTGCTCTTATTTGCCAAATTTAAGTTTAATTTTTACAATAATGTAGTTAAGATTATATTCTTTCATTAAACATATATTGAACATTGCACTTGACAATAATCTGTATCTAAAATTATGTTTATTGTTTTGTGAACAACATTTAATACCAAGTACTGCTTGGGTTTCAGAAAATATTTAGGATATTTTTACATATTTAAAATTTGCACATTATGCTGAGTATAAAGTAAACTGGTCCTTTCTTTTTTTACTTTAATTGGCTTTTGTTCAGGTAAAAAGAACATATTCCCATGGTACATACAGAGCTGGCCCGATGAGACAAATCAGCTTGGTTGGAGCAGTAGATGAAGAAGTTGGGGATTATTTTCCAGAGTTCCTTGATATGTTGGAAGACTCACCTTTGTTAAAAGTAAGATGGAAATTAGAATGTGTTGGAACCTTTATTTCAAATAAAATTATGCTATTGTTCAGTAATTAATTCCTTAATCTAATGAGAGAGTCAAAATTAATAAATTATTTAGCATCAAGGAAGTAAATATATATATATATATTTGTCAACTTGTATGTTACATTCATATTTTAAGAGTTTATACTTTAATTTCTTAAAACTGCATCCATTGCACATGTTCAAGCAAATCTGAAAGGTTTAAAATTCCTAAGCTCATAACATGTAAATAGTAGTTTGTCTCTTGTAGAAATTGGCACATTTGCAATGCTCATCACTTTGATTTCAAAATATCAGGAATGGAGAAGTTTCCATCTGGGTTTCAATCTCAGTTCAAATTGAATGAATTGCCAATCATGTTATCAGTTGTAGATGGATACACAGTGCTCTTCATTTTGTAAAATAAATAAATAGTTTAAAATAGTATCAGAAAATAACATAGATTTTAAACATAAGTGTTTTATTTTAGTGTACTTTACCATGGGGGACACTTTCTAGTCTTAAACTAGAAAGTCGGAAAGACAGCGATGATGGTCCCATCATGTGGGTACGTCCAGGAGAACAAATGATTCCTGTGGCAGATATGCCAAAGTCGCCTTTCAAAAGGAAAAGGTATGTTGTAATATCTGGTTGACTTCAGTATTCAGTAATATTTAATACTCCAGGATTGGTGTAGCAGAAGGAGTGGCAGAATCTGAGAGGCGGTGTTAAAAGAGGTATCAGTCTAGAATTCTATGTAGCTACAAGCAGACCAAGTCCAACCTCCCTTGAATTCCCTTGACCTTTATCTGCCTGCCTTTAGTTGAGAAGATTCTGGTACATAGGTTATAGCAATATAGCAATTTAATGGGACCTTCATGTGTGGACCTGATCTTTCCTGTCTGACAACTGGCAATGCAGTGGCTGTGTATTGTCAGTGTATAGAGGGCACACCCTAAAGAACTGGTTTCTCAGTTATCACATATTTTGTCCTAAACAGCAGTTAAAGTCCAAAAAGGGCTTTAAAGATTGATGTTAGATAGCTAATTACAGATTCTGTTACTCTTAATGTTCCTCCTTTTCCCCCCACCTCTTGCTCTTAAAAATGCTATTTCCTGCCAAAGAAATAAATTTATTTAATAATTATTCCCTTTAAGAAAATAAGCAGCCCACATGCAACATGTATGCCACAGTTTGATTTTATTTGGGTCCCCCACCCAATTATTTCAGCAATTATTAAATAAAATAGATAATTCATCAACCTAATGCAAAAATATACTTTTTTAAAAGGGTGGGGTCCCTTCCCCCAAAGAGAAAAAAAAAGCTTACAAGAAAGAGATGAAAATATTATTTTTATTTTTATTATTTTATTAGTCGCATTTTTATGCCGCCCAACTCCCGAGGCACTCTGGGCGGCTAACAACAAAGAATAAAACAATGCAACCAAATATCGGATTTACAAATGGAATTGGACGATCATTTAAAAAAAAATTAAAAATGAGTATAAAAATAATGTATCAAAAGTATGAGGTGGATTATGCGTTTACATTGAAATATCAGAGACTTAAATTATTTCATAAAAATTACAAATGGATTTGGGTAAAATGATAAGAACTTTTGTCAGAAGAGCAAAAATCATAGAGGAAAATGGGGGTTAGAATTTTATGTATGGCAGTGGTACCCAACTTTTTTGGCACCAAGGACTGGTTTCGTGGAGGGCAATTTTTCCACGGACTGGGGAGGCAGGGTGGTGGGGGGGAGAAGATTGCGCAATCTAGATCCCTTACATGTGCAGTTTACAGTAGAGTTCACACCCCTATGAGAAATCCAGTGCCTGATGATCTCGGGTGGAGCTGGAGCAGTGACGGTAGCGCTTGGGAGTGGTTGCAAAATACGGATGGAGCTGGCTCGCTTGCCCCTTGCTCACCTCCTGCTGTGTGGCCCAGTTCCAAACAGGCCACAGACCGATACTGGTCCGTGGCCCAGGGATTGGGGACCCCTGATGTGTGGGACTTAAAGAAGGCTGGAAGGAAGGAAGGAAGAAAAAACAACAACACAAAATTGGTTTGACCATGTTGAATGATGAGTTGCTATCTTTGGTGACATTCAATGGTTAAATAATAATAACAGATTGGCTACTGCTAAGGATGTCTTAAATAACACAGGCGTATTAAAAAAAAATAGGGTAAGTCTTTCTGTGATTTATTTTCATATGTAAAATACTCACTTTTGCAGAGTTTGATCCAGGACATGCTCATATCCATGGGTCCGCCCTTAGTGTTTTTATTTAATCTTTAGGCAGACATATCTCAGTGTTGAGAACTCTGCCTCAGTGCTTATATTTCGACAGTGTGTTGGAGGGTTCTTTTATGGAAAGGGATATTCAGTTATGGCTATGTTAATTAAAGAGCAGGTATGGTCTAGTGATCAAAGTGTTGTGGTTTAGGGCAAGGAAAATCCCAGGATCTTGTCCACTTTTAGCCATAGAAACTCACTTGGTGCTATTTGGACTAATCGCCCTTTCTCAGCCTGTCCTATCTCACGGAAGAATTGGAAGACGGTATGAGATATATATATATATATATAAGTGTTGGGATTGGGTTATTTGTAGGACTGTCTCTCCCCACTTTATGCTGTGAGTGAAATTAAACCTATGAAGCTGAAATCTTTATAATGCGTACCCTTTCTTTTATTTTGTTTTAACAGAACTACCAATGAAATTAAAAACCTGCAGTACCTACCTCGTACTAGCGAGCCTCGTGAAATGCTTTTTGAAGACAGGACGCGAGCACACGCAGATCACATAGGACAAGGGTTTGAACGACAGACTACAGCTGCCGTCGGAGTGTTAAAGGCAGTGCATTGTGGAGAATGGTATGTAATTGCCGGTCGGTTCAGGAAAATATCTGCAGAATACCTAGTGTAATACCTAGTGCAATAAGAAAATTGTCTGAAAGTGGGTTATGATAGCATCTTTCAAGTACTTGAAGGGGTGTCTCACAGAAAAAGATCAAGTCTTGTTTTCTGTCATTCACAGGTGCAGAATATGGCACACGGATGTTTATAGATAGAATATTTATAGCTCAGGGTTGTATTGTGGGCTACTTGCTAGTCTTCTTGCAGACATTTCATTACCAAACTAGGTAACTAGTACTAAAAGGGAGTGGAGTTTGCTCTTGTTTTTATATACTAGTGGCTTGCCCTGCCAGTGTAAGAGCAAACCCATCCCTTCTAGCACTTCATAGGGTTACTTCATTGGGTTATAAGATGCCTGCAAAAAAAACGACCAAGCTCAGAGAGTATCAAAGATCCCACACAATGATTTTTAATTATAGATCGAGGCAATTTTGGATTAGGAAACTTATTTATTTATTTATTTATTTATTTATTTTATTTATTTTATTTATTTTATTTATTTATTTATTTATTTTGTATACCGCCCTTCTCCCAGAAGGGACTCAGGGCGGTGAACAGCCAAAATTAAAAAACATACAAATACAAAAGTTAAGATAATTAAAAAGAATTAAATCACTAGCTATCACAACATATCCTATTGATAAGAGCAGGCTGATAGTGGAACCAGTTAAACCAAGAGATTCAGAGATCTTTTTCACTGGATATCTTCAAACATACTAGTCTGGGAGGTTGGATTAAATGTCCTTTTCTTAGTTTTTTCTCGACATTTTATCAGTAGACATACCATTTAGTAAGAATTTTCATATTAAACAGCATTCAGCAGCATTAAAAGAAAGACGTAAAATGATACTGAAGGAAGACTTATTTTTGTTGCCCTATTTATCAATGGGGGTAATCCACATAGTTACCTAGAAAAATGAAAATTATATCTTGATTGGAGAACTGCTAATTACCTGACACTTATAGAATGGAAAAATGAGATAATAATAATTAATCTTTTGGTTTGAAATTGGATTATATAATTAGTAGTAAAGCCTCCCAAGTCCTATACATATTTCCATTCTCCATATAGTTTTCTTGGAAATAATACTTTGCTTCTGTCTGTTTCCCTGACTAATCAACAGCAGTAAGAATAGCCTGAAGGTTTCTCAGCATAGCTTCCAACCTCAGACAGTGCTAGCCAGACACTGCCATGTACTGAGTCAGCGGCTTGTCTGACTTGTGAATCCTATTGCTTTACTCTCTTCTCATAGCTCAGTGTAAAACATTTCTTGAATTCATTTCTATGTTGCCAAACTGTTTGGTTCTCTCATCACTAAGCAACAATTAGTACAAGACACAGAACTTTGGCATCAATTACTACAATGTCTTCCTCATCTCTGTTAAATTTAAATTTAAAAATATTTATTTATTTATTTATTTATTTATTTATTTATTTATTTATTTATTTATTTATTTATTTATTTATTTATTTATTTATTTATTGGATTTGTATGCCGCCCTTCTCCCGAAGGACTCAGGGCGGCTCACAAAATAAGAAACAAAGAATACAAAAGTTAAAAGACAAATTAAAACAGAATATCCAATAAATAAGGTTAAACGTGGGAATACCAATTAAAATTTAAGATTTAAGAATTTAAAATATGCTAAATGAGCTTTACTTCCACAGTATACTCAATATATGGGACAGTTTTCAATAGTCCCGTTTTACATTTTGTACAGTTACAAAAACAATATTGCTGTAAGACATTTAATTTTCCAGTAATTGTGTATCAGAATCAACTTTTAGTTATAGAATGCAGTAGGAAAGAAAAACCAACAAATATATAGAGACGCACACTTACAAAGTGGGGGGGGGGGGGGAGAGTGTATTAAGAGTGTATTAGAGAGAGAAAGAGAGTATTAGAGAAAGAGAGAGCATTAGAGGGTGAGAGGATTGGATCAGGATTTTTCTGATTGGCTTGAAGAAAATAGCCGTCCTTCAACTGTTTTACCTGTTTCATTTTCCAATATAGCTATCGCCTCTTCTTTGTTGCAACAATAGCTCATTGGCTGGTTGATTGAGTTAAATATTAAATTTTTCATCTTCATTCTCAATGTTTTTTGTCTGATGGATGAAGGAACTTTCATTTGCTAAAGTGATATTTTCAGCATCTTCTTCTAATACTTCCTATTTTGGGCACAAAGAAGAGGAGCTATTTTTGGAAAAAAACTGATAATGTAAATTATACAAATCATACATCAGTGAATTACAATATAGGTTTAGCAAATGGCTCATGATGCCTTTCAGCACTACTGGTTGATGCAATTTGCATACTGCAATCAGCTGGGCACTCCATCTGTGATTGTGCAGCCTGATGCCAAGATCTTCTCCTGGCTGAATTTTTCTCCCCTCTTCTGTTCATCTTTCATCCTCAAATGCTTGAATGTTTTAGGAACTGTGCGCCAGAATAAACCAGTCTCATCTGCATTGCAAATCTGACACAGTATGAGGCATTCATTCTGGGTTATGTTATGTAACCTTTTCCTTAAAGCCTAACTTTCCTCCATTTGGACAAACATTCGCCATCTGTATGTTCACAGTTCCAAGATTAGACAGTTCCACATACATGCAAGTCGAGGTGTACTTTTGCAATTGTATTAACTGCTAATTTTTAGTTTTATTCCCCATAATTAACAATACTTGAAGATAGTGTTCCACCACTGTTTCTTCGCTAAGTGGGGTTTCATGTCCCACTTTAAATGTTCTTTACCCCAAGTGTTTATGTGCTGCTATGATTTATAATACACTGAAGATATAATTCTGTAGTCCTCGATGTACGACCACAATTGAGTCCAAAATTTCTGTTTTCTAAGCGAGACAGTTTTTAAGTGAGCTTTGTTTCATTTTGCGATCTTTTTTGCCACATTTGTTGTGAATCACTATAGTTGTTAAATAAGTAACACGGTTGTTAAGTGAATCTTGCTTGTCAGAAAGTCGCAGAAGGTGATCACATGACCCTGGGACACTGCAACTGTCATAAATATGAGTCAGTTGGTTGACTCAGCCTTCCATCCTTCCAAGATCGGTAAAATGAAGACCGAGATTGTTGGGGGCCATATGCTGACTCTGTAAACCGCTTAGAGAGGGCTGTGAAGCCCTGTGAAGCGGTATATAAAGTCTTAAGTGCTGTTGCCATTATCCTTGCCGAGTGTCTGAATTTTGATTACGTGGCCATGAGGATGCTGCAGCAGTCAATTTACTGTTGTAAGTTGAGGATTTACCTGTACAGCTCTGTATTTTTATAGACTTTTGCTTAACTTGCCTATAAAAAATCAGTAACAAATTTTTAATAAACCTGAATGGCAACTTTGGTTATTTTTTTTCCCCCCATGTGTAGGGTTGAACAACCTCGCATAACCAAAGACGTAATTTGTTTTCACGCGGACGATTTCTTAGAGGTAGTTCAACGACTGCAGTTAGATTTGCACGAGCCTCCACTTTCCCAGGTAACTTGTCTCGATAGCCGGATGACGTTTTAAGAATGTTCCGAATCTTTGAAGGGGGCTCTTTTATTTTCTCTCTTTTTCCTTCTAGTGCGTCCAGTGGGTGGACGACGCAAAACTTAACCAGTTACGAAGGGAAGGCATCCGATACGCCAGGATTCAGTTGTACGATAACGATATTTATTTTATCCCACGGAATGTTATACATCAGTTTAAGACGGTTTCAGCGGTGTGCAGTTTGGCGTGGCACGTGCGGCTCAAGCTCTATCACTCGGAGGCAGAAAACAAAACCGCCTATGACACGGATCCCCCGACCGATGCCACATCCTCTCTGACGGGACTTCAGACTGTGGGTGCCACCCATCCCGCGGACGTCCACGCCTCCGAAGGAACCAAATTCTTAAATAGCCTTCAGACTAAATACGTGAAACAGGAGGTTTCGTGCCCGCCACACGAACCCGATTTATCTCTTCAGAATCCCGAGGAGACCCTTCCCGTCAACCTTCCAGAAAAGATGGCGCCCGCCTCCACTGCTGCAGAATGTCCGAAAGCAAGACTGGATCACACATATTTGACAGGGTGGAGACTTGAGACTGACTCAAACCCCGAGCCTGGCCACAAATACTTACAGGACAGCGTGTGCCCCGGGGGTCATGTGAATCTGGAAGACACGAGACACAGGAGCTCAACTTACCCAAGTCTGCATGGCAAACCAGATGATGATTTTTTGTGTTAAGTGTGTGTGTGTGCGTGTGCGTGCGTGTGCGCGTGGGCCTGCATATATGTTTTTAAAGTACTTTTAAAATATAATGACAACAATGTAAGGAGGCTTACAATTCTGTGAGGCAGGATGTCTTTCTTGAACTGCCCTTACAGCTGTGGCAACATAAAATAGTACATGTAGCTTTGTAACATTCCTCAGTGCCTGTCCGTAACTGTAAACTGTTTGAAAGCACTTAGGGCCAGATGCACTGTAAACACTGCAGGTATAACATAAAAAAAGTCTTTAAATATGAGTTGTAGGTTTTAGAATAGAGCTGACATTTAACATATATATTTTTTGTAAGATAAGCCAGAATTCTTTTTGACAATTCCAGGCTTTTCCATAGAGCTTATTTATACCATTTTTTTTTCCTTTTTAATGTGTCAGCACTGTAGTGTAAATAGCTTTTTTTAAAAAAAAAATACACACACACAAAACAAAATGAAACAAAAACAAAAAAAAACTTTTTAGTGTGATTTATATTAAAATGTGAGCCGCTTAATAAAGGTTCATAATAATTATTTTTATTTTGAAAAATCTCAGTCCTGGTTTAAAAAAAAAAAGGGAAATATTCTTATATTAAAAATGCATAGATGTATTAAGTAAGATAGAATTTGTTGTTGAATTTCCACAAAATCTTCACCTGGAGAAGAATAGGAAGGTTCATTGCCTTTTGGTCGGATGCTAGACAGTATGTCGAAACGAAAGCATAACACTCTTCCTTTTTCCTATCTTACGAACATTGGACTTCAGCAAGGACTGAACATTTGAGTACTCTTGACAGGCATATCACTAAAGTGGAGTCCTAATGAGTGGCAAATCGTAAATAAATACAAAAAAGAGGGATACAAAAAAGAATACTACTACAGTTTGCCGGTTATTTGAACAAAATATATAAATAGACCCGCAATGATCTACTTAATTCTTTTTCCCCCTGTCCTTTGGTTGGGAACTTAATTCTGTAACGGCAACAAGCAGACGACAACAAGAAGAGTTTTACAATAAATGTAAGAAAGGTGGGGGGGGAAAACATTTCATTTCCAACCAAGATATAGTGCTGGATCAATGTGAATTTCCCTCATGCATCTGGCTAAATAAAGCTAGGAACATGCTTAGTTTAATTCCTTCTGTGCCAGAACTTTAAAAGTTTTCCTTTATCTAACAGAACACAGAAACATCTGTCTATTTCTGACCTTTTATGGCACAAACGATGACTTCCATTATTCCCAGCAGGGAATATAATATGAAAAAATATCTATTATCCACCTGTCTCGTCAATTCCATTTTGAGTCCTCAGCTTTGCCATTCAGGTGATGACTATCTTCACAGCAGCCCCTGGCCCCACAATTGGGTTAAACGCGCAATAAAACCCGTCCTTGTCGTAGAGTTTCTTAGCTTGTGTTGCTGTAATTGTAATTTTAGAGACAAGCAAATCATTAGACTTTCATTTGCGCGTGGAGGTTTTTTTTTTTTTTACGAAGTTTAATGTGTGAGCCTGAATCCAAAATGCCACAGAAGCTGCTGCTGCCAGAAAAAAAGATTTGAGAATCAGCTAGCCTTCAGTGGGACCAGGGGAATCTCTAATTTAAAATTGATCTGCGGTAGGGAATATATACTGCCCTGTTTCTATACAAAAGAGAGGCAATATGAAAATACCCAGCTGGTGTGCTTTGCTATACTGTGTGAGTATAGGTGGAAGTGCCTGGGGTAGGTTCTGAGGTATACATTGCAATTGTAGAACCGTCAACATTTAAAGAAAAGGCAGATATGCAGAGTGATTAGATACAAGGAGGGAGAATAATTCACCTGTGGTAACCAAACTTTGGGTTAGAATAGTCCATGTTCATGATTCTTGGCCTCTTCCACTTTTGTGGGTTATTTTGAGGCTGTTGAAAAAGAAAAGCACAGCCAGAAAGAAAAAGAAATGCCCTTATTAAAACCAGATACAATAATTGCTGTGCATTTGAAGCACGGAGGATGATTTCCAGAACAGGGGTCTCCAACCTTGGCAACTTTTAAGACTTGCGGACTTTAAACTCCAACTTCCTCACCGGCTGCTGAGGTCCACAAGTCTGAAAAGTTGCCCAGGTTGGAGACCCCTGTCCTAGAAGGCTCTTGCTATGAATATAAGTGTCAACATGGTTTTCTATACAAAGTGACGGTCACAGCCCTTTCAGATTGCTGATGTCGGCAAACGCCACTATTTTCGTGGGGTTTTTTTTCTCCTTTTTTGTACATTGTACATTGTACATTGTACATTGTACATTTGTACGTTCGATAAACATGTCTTAACAATGTCGGGCAGTTTCTGTAAGAGGCTGCTTTTGTGTGTTTTCCCTTTGAGGTTGATGCAGTGGGCTGAAAATGTCGCAAAATGCTGAAACCTTTTTGTTGAAACCGATGGTTCACCTGAAACTTAAGCTGTCGTTGGATATTGTCATTTCTGTCCTTTTGTTAGGGCTATTATATCTGGTGTGTAAAAAACTTGGGTGGCCTCTAGAAGGCAGCAATGAGTTAAGAGTTTTCTAATACTCTCTGCTGTCAACTAGTACTTCCCTCCCATCTTTGCGCCCCAAATATATTAGCCGTAAGTCTCCAGAAACAATGTCCTTCCTGGTCTCTTTCCACTTACCTGCTTTGAATGATGCAACAACAGATAAACGCTACTTTTTTTTAAAAAAAGTGCTTTGAGTTTCTTCATAACTCTCCACCTCACTCTCAATTTTAAGAAGAAACTATTTTCAATCTGTATAGTTTCATCTTTCCCAACTAGGATCTGAATTGTTGGGGTTCGGTTAGTTATGACGCTCTACCTTCCCTCTATTTTTTAAAAAAAACAAGTAGTCCTCGACCATACGACCACAGTTGAGTCCCAACGTTTTTGCTGCTAAGCGAAACAGTTAAGTAAGTTTTGCTCCATTTTACAACCTTTCTTCCCACCGTTGCTAAGTGAATAACTGCAGTTGTCAAGTTAATACCGCGGTCGTTAAGCGAATCCGGCTTCCTCGTGGACTTTGCTTGTCAGACAGTCGCAAAAGGGGATCACGTGACCCTGGGACGCTGCAACCGTCATAAATACGAGTCAGTTGCCAAGCGTCTGGATTCTGATCAAGTGACCGTGGGGAGGCTGCAATGGTCATAAGGGTGGAAAACGGTCATAAGTCACTTTCTTTCAGTGTCGTAACTTTGAACAGTCACTAAATGAACTGTTGTAAGTTGAGGATTACCTGTATTACGTAATAGGCAATCATTAGCAATTGGGTTGGAGAGAGGTTTGTGCTTAAACATTTTTTTCCCTCCTGATTTTGGAATTTGAGATAACGATTATAATACTCCCTGTTCAGTGAAGTATAGAAAAATATGGCTTAGTGTTTCTGAAAAATGAAGTATTTGCCGCAATTTGGATCCTGGACCTATGGTTTTGCTGGAATGTAATCGACTACAAAATTTGTTTTGAAGTGGAAAATGTTTGTACTGTGTATTCTAGACAACAGTGGAGCATTCCAAAACTTTTAATTCATGGATTATGCTTAAAACTTGGTTTAATCATAGTGTGCAAATCACGTTTGCTTCGTTGAGAAGGTGATGAATGCTATAGGCACTTCCTGATGGGAGAGTCCTATAACTTACTATTTATACTAAACCAGTCAAGCAAAATTGTAATTCTTCTGAAGAGACCAAGTTGGGAAAGTATGTGTGGGTTATTATTTAGACTTTTACTACCAAACTGAATGGCTTTGGTCCAAAAGCTAGTTCCTTACTATCTGGTCTCTAGTCAACTAAGCAAAGGAAGAAAAGAAGTCATAAAATTTCTATCAATATAAACTTGCAGAAGCTAGAACAAGCAGGAATCAGATTGCGGCTGCAATATTCTTCCTGTTAACAGTTGCCAGTACTCTTCCTTCCAAAAATTCTTCTAACCATACCATTTAAAAAAAGACCGCGTTGCTTTGCTCTCGGTAGAAAACGAAAACCCCGATGAGTTGCTATATTTTTCCTTTGTGGAATACTATTGGTTTACCTTTATCGAGAACAAACAAAAATGTTCCCTCTGTTGAAAAATAAGTGACATAGCCCATAAACTCATATCATTGAATATTTCATTGTATGTAAGGCTAGGCTAAAGTGTGCTAAACTGATTTGTCTTAAGGATGGTTTAGATATGCCACAATGGTGGGATTTGCATTTTGCTAATCTGTACAGAAACAAACCACAGTACAGGTTAATACATGTGTGAATACCGGGTGTGAATGGAAGAGGTAAGTTAACAACGAGGAAGCAATATATCTTCAGATTATTTTATGTAATAAGATATATATTGCTTCCTCGTTAACTTACCTCTTCCATTCACACCCGGTATTTAATGTCAATTGCTTTTATTTTATTCATTGAAAAAGGGGAAGATTAGACAGAAAATCATTTTTTTTACACATAGAACTAATTAGTCATGGCATGTAGGTGGAGGGAGATATATATATATATCTCCATATATATATATATATATCTCCATATATATATATATATATATATCTTCTCAAGTTTTCATGGGTGTGTATATGTAAAAAGTTAAAATCTCAGGTGTTTTCCCGCGTCAGGACACAGAGTTGCAGGCTAACCAGCGATAGAAAAGCGACAACTCCGATCTCGCAACATACGCACAGCTTCTAAACCCAAAGTAGGGGCCCGATGATGACAAGTTAGCTTGTCGAAACGTTGCCAAAAAGAAAACTTTTAAAGTGTTGGTTAGGATTTTAGCCAGAGTTTCAAAAGACCTTACAAAGTGTTTTGTTGGGATTTTGGAGGATTTTAAGCTGGGATTTTAGCCAGGATTTTAAGTCTTTCAATTAACAGACTTTTAATGATGTGGGAAAACACCCGAGATTTTAACTTTTTACACACACACACACACACACACACACATATTCAAAATTTTAATGGAATGAATGAGTTAATGAATTATATTGACTACAGAGGTTTCTCGGTGGAACTGGGTTTTTTCCACTAAAATGTCTGGATTTTCTAAGACTTCAGAAATTGGTATGAAACGAACTAGCAAGGGCACAAATGTTGCACAAAGAGAGACCTCACTTGTCCAACTCCAAACTGTCTCCATCACCATTTCTATTTTTGTGGTATAACACAAAGTGGTTTCCGTTTACTGAAGGCCCCCTCTTAGTTTTCCCTGGTAGCCTGCAACCGTTAATCGGCTTGCCTGTCGCATTGAATTATGGTTTGTTTCATAAACCGCAATTGGTTAGAATAAAATAATGATATATTAGTATATAACGGAATATAAACTAGAACTCATTACGCTTCAAAACTGATTTAAAATCTAGCATGAGCAAAGCACATCTTTCCTTGGGCTGCTGCGGGAGACTGAAAATCATGCCTGCTTGAATGAATCAACTCATTAAAATGACCTTCAAAAGAAAAACAACACATGGCTTAACGGTGCGCCTGACAAAAGTTGTGGCTGCTTTAATGAGGAGCAGGGAAGTCTCATGCTCATGTGAGGTTTAAAGCACTGCCATGTCATTTTCAAAGCATCTGCAGCCCTCATTTTAACATTTGAGTTCAAAAACAAAAGCACATGATGGCTTAATCCATGTCACCCACCTGTGATGTGTAGCACCACTTTAAAAATTTAGAAAGCATTTTTTTTTGTGCCCAGAAAATAAGCCAATAGCCATCCTTCTGGACCATTCCCAACCGATGGTCCAGAAGATAACTGATCTAGGCATAAAAATATTTGGATGCTCATTAGGTAAACACGTGTGGCAGTATCTTGAGGCGAGTTCACTGCTCAGGAGTTACTCCCATATAATTTCGAGGTGGCAAGTTGAAGGCCAGTCCGGGCCTGGTTACTATAAGTAGCCTTGTACCTGGACAGGCTTTTCTTGCTCATCTCCAGTTTGAAGAACCTAGTGTCTCCAGAATGAGTAAGGGGTCATCGGGATGACCTGAATGCTCAGAGCTAATCCTTTATTTTTTATTTATTTATTTTATCTTGTCAAGCATGTATTAGATAACAGATATAAACATGGTTATGAATACATGAAATGGATACAAGTAAACGGGGACAGTAGGACAGGGGCGGAAGGCACTCTGGTGTGCTTATGGACTCCCCTTGCAGACCTCTTAGGAATGGGGTGAGGTCAACGGTAGACAGTCTACGGTTAAAGTTTTGGGGGTTTGGAGAAGAAACCACAGAGTCCGGTAGTGCATTCCAGGCACTGACCACTCTGTTGCTGAAGTCGTATTTCCTGCAATCGAGTTTGGAGCGGTTGAAGCTGAAGTAGTCCTTGACAGGTAGGACGTTGTAGCAGATAATTTTATGTACTACGCTTAGGTCAGTCCGAAGCCGGTGTAGTTCTAAGCTGTCTAAGCCCAAAATTTCAAGCCTGGTGGCATAAGGGATTCTGTTGCGAGCAGAGGAGTGATGTTGATGTCTATTTCCATTGTTCTGCTATCTTGAAAGGAAAAAGTAGTGCTAGATCCATCAGTTGATGTTCTTCAACGGGTCAGCTTGGAAGAGGTGGCCATTTCTTTTGAGTTTGCTGGTGTTTGGGGTGGGTGGGTTAAGGTCCATCCTCTGCAGTTGTCTATGGAGGTTCTCAGTCATCCAAGTCATTGTTTATTTATTGGTTCGATTTATTTATTGGTTCGATTTATATGCCGCCTTTCTCCGGAGACTCAGGGCGGCTTACAATGCGTTAAGCAATAGCCTTTATACTTTTGTATATACCTGCTTAGTAGGGCTTTTGCCCCCCCCCACCAAGCGGTATTCTTTTTTATACAAAGTCAGCTTATTGCCCCCACAATCCGGGTCCTCATTTTACCTACCTCGAAAAGATGGAAGGCTGAGTCAACCTAGAGCCTGGTGA